TGTTTGCTTCTATATGCATCTGTGTCAGAGCAGTTGTTCATCTGCAACATAGTTTCCGGGGTATTGGGAGTCTTCTCCTTGGCATTGTTGCAAAACAGATACTCTTTCATTTCTTATCAGCTATTGTTAATATTTTAATAGATAAATATCCGAATTTGTTCACAGAATACACTGTACATGCAAAAAAAAGTGTGCTGATTGGAGCAACATCCTGGGCCATGTGAAGGTTTTTGTAGCACACGCCATTTGGCAAGTGAATGTAAAGATAACATTGTTTGTAATATGGGGAATGATGAGGCTGTTTCTTATAGCAGACCCAGATACAAAAATGGGGATTTAGGATGCCATTCATAAGATATGATGTTTATAATTTCAAATTCAAAAATTCAAAATTCAAATGTTTATTTAGGTAAAATACATACAAAGGGTGATACAAAAATTGGTGAATTTATAGATAGAGCTAGTACATACAATGCATAAAGCCACTATTACGCAAAGCGTTTCAGGCAGAAAAAACACTATAAGACAAACTTAATAATAATCGAGATTAAAGTATAAAATGTGTTGAGAAAATAAAAAAATAAAAAAAGGGGGAACATGGCAGAAAAAGCAAAAATACAATTTGGTCGACAAACAGCATTGTATAAAAATAACAGACATGGGTTGACATTAAAGGGGTAAGGTAGGTTACAGGGAGTTAATTAGGTAGTGCTTAGTTTTTATCTTAAACTGGTTGAGAGAGGTACAGTCTTTAACATGATTGGGAAGGTCATTCTACATTCTGGGTCCCTTGATTTGTAAAGCAACTCTTGGAATATCATAAAGGTATTTGTTTCTGGTGTGGTGAATTTAATAGGTATAGCTTCGTTTTTATCTTAAACTGGTTGAGAGAGGTACAGTCTTTAACATGATTGGGAAGGTCATTCTACATTCTGGGTCCCTTGATTTGTAAAGCATTTCTAGTTTGATTAAGTCGTACTCTAGGAATATCAAAACTGTATTTATTTCTGGTGTGGTGCTCATGGGTTCTGTTACAACCTTCTATGAAGCTTTTGAGGTCAGGACTGGCATTACAGTTCAGCGTTTTATATATGTATAATACACATGAGAGAATGTGCAGTGACTTAATATCTAACATATTCAGAGATTTGAGTAGGGGTACCGAGTGATGTCTGGGGCCAGAGTTGGATATTGTCCTAATAGCAGCTTTGTGTTGAGTGATTAGAGGACATAAATGATTTTGGGTAGTAGAACCCCAAGCACAAATACCATAGTTGAGATATGGATAGATGAGGGAGTAATAGAGTCACCAGGGCAGGGCGGGGTACATAATATCTGATCTTAGAAAGAATGCCAACAGTTTTAGAAACTTTTTTTGATATATTTAGAATGTGTCCCTGGAATTTCAGCTTGTGGTCAATGAGAATGCCAAGGAATTTGCCATCTAATTTGTTATAATATATATATATATTTATATATATATATATATATATATATATATATATATATATATTATATTATATATATATATATATATATATATATATATATATATATTATATATATATATATATATATATATACACATATATATATATATATATATATACATATATATACACATATATATATATATATATATATATATATACATATATATATATATATATATATATATATATATATATATATATATATATATATGTCGTACCTAGTAGCCAGAACGCACTTCTCAGCCTACTATGCAAGGCCCGATTTGCCTAATAAGCCAAGTTTTCCTGAATTAATATATTTTCTCTAATTTTTTTCTTATGAAATGATAAAGCTACCCATTTCATTATGTATGAGGTGAATTTTTTTTTATTGGAGTTAAAATTAACGTAGATATATGACCGAACCTAACCAACCCTACCTAACCTAACCTAACCTATCTTTATAGGTTAGGTTAGGTTAGGTAGCCGAAAAAGTTAGGTTAGGTTAGGTTAGGTAGGTTAGGTAGTCGAAAAACAATTAATTCTTGAAAACTTGGCTTATTAGGCAAATCGGGCCTTGCATAGTAGGCAGAGAAGTGCGTTCTGGCTACTAGGTACGACATATATATATATATATATATATATATATATATATATATATATATATATATGTCGTACCTAGTAGCCAGAACGCACTTCTCAGCCTACTATGCAAGGCCCGATGTGCCTAATAAGCCAAGTTTTCATGAATTAATGTTTTTCGACTACCTAACCTACCTAACCTAACCTAACCTAACTTTTTTCGGCTACCTAACCAAACCTTACCTATAAAGATAGGTTAGGTTAGGTTAGGTAGGGTTGGTTAGGTTCGGTCATATATCTACGTTAATTTTAACTCCAATAAAAAAAATTGACCTCATACATAACGAAATGGGTAGCTTTATCATTTCATAAGAAAAAAACTAGAAAAAATATATTAATTCAGGAAAACTTGGCTTATAAGGCAAATCGGGCCTTGAATAGTAGGCCAAAAAGTGAGTTCTGGCTACTAGGTACGACATATTTATATATATATATATATATATATATATATATATAATATATATATATATATATATATATATAATATATATATATATATATATTTATATATATATATATATATATATATATATATATATGACCTTATATATATTCAGGTCTGAAGCCATATTGACAAAAGCTAAGTATATTGTGTTTGGCTAAATAAGAGTAAAGCTGCCTTGTAGATTAGTTTTTCAAATATTTTTGACAAGTTTGGCAGGATTGATATAGGTCTGTAGTTGTTATTTATTTATTTATTTATTTATTTTATTTATTTATTTATGCATATACAAGAAGGTACATTGGGAATGTGAGGATACATAATATGGTAATTACAGTCTTGTAAAGCCACTAGTACGCGCAGCGTTTCGGGCAGGTCCTTAATCTAAGAAAATTTTATGTAGGTAAATACTTGCAAAATTTATAAAAAAAAATAACAGTTACATGGCAAGAAAAAAAAAGATGAGAGAAAATTGTAGGTACAGTATATTAAAGCACATAGGTAGCTAAGATTGATTGCAATGACAGCTTGAATGGTAGTTGACAAAAATTGGTAGGCACAATACAGCATATGGCTAACACATAAAAGAAGACAGCAATGATCACAATGATAAGGTTAACATCCGTGAGATCACAACATTTGTGGACAGGGGTTACTCTCGCATTTTTTAGAATATCTGGAAAGGTTTGGAGTTCAAGTGACTTGTTGAAGAGTAATGCAATAGCAGGGGCTAAAGATCTAGAGGCTTTTTTGTAAATTAAAGTTGGTGTCTCCTCAAGGGCACTAGACTTGGTTTTAAAGGAAAGGATTATCTCATTTACATCAGTGGAATTTGCAGGCGTTAGGTACAGAGACTGTGGATAGTTACCTGTAAGATAGTCCTGAACATCAGTACTGGAAGATGGAATATCATTTGCAAGGGATGACCCAATGGAAGAGAAGAACCTGTTGAAGTCAATAGCAGTATCAGAGGCTGTAAGCTGACCATCATTATTTGACAGGAGTATTGGCTTGTTATTTAAACTCTTCTTTGATCCCAATATTTGTGAAATTGTGCTCCATGTTTTCTTAATGTTGCCCTTTGGGTAAATTTATCTTCGTAGTATTTAGTTTTGGCTCTTCTAATTATTTTAGATAGCAATGACGATTAATTCTTTTAAAATTCTTTGGAGACGATTCCTAACTTACTCTTCTTCTCAAGGTCATGTTTTTTATTAATGGATTTAAGTATTCCCTTTGTAAGCCAAGGGTTGTTTAGCCATTTTGTAGTGAATTGTTTCGTAAGCACAGGACAGTGGGTGTTATAAAGGCTGAGAGTTTTATGAAGACAAGATTGCACTGCTAGGTTGATGTCCCCTATGTTACCTAATTCGGACTCCCAGTTGACATTAGCAGCAGCAGCTATAAACTTGCCTATGGCAGTTTCATTGTGCAGCCTAAAGCTTATTTCCCTTTTCTCTAAAGGTGATTTGTTAACGTTAGTTAGGAGAAATGTGGGGTAATGGTCTGTAGTGCTATCGATGATTATCCCTGAAGTAAGTGGAGTAATTTGTGAACCCTACTTTACTAATGAATCTGTTCATAGCTTTGTTGGAAAACAAAAAAACAGTAGACGAATTACTGTACCATCCTGGGATGTTTCATCACAAAGGGTGTTCTGATTCATCTTTGGTTTATCTAAAACTAAGAGTCAATCCTTTTTTGTCAAATAAAGTGTAGATTCTCCACAAGTTTCATGTGTGTAATGATTGGGATAGGAGGAGAGATTTGACTACTATATCAAGTTTTACTTGACTCATACCAATGCATATCTGAAATACAAAAACAAATATCATAGCAGATCAAAGCAGAAATTACAATTATCTTAATAATAAAAGATCAATTAGGTAACCAACTGTATGGGTCTCTTAGAAAATATATGATCATTATTACTAAAAACTAGGGGATTAACATCAGATATTTCACACTTGACTCAATAAAAATTACATGGGTAATAAATCCTAATATTTCTTTAAGCATTTAATGTAGACATACACCGATTCTCCTAGATTCTCCTTGGTGCCCAACCACTAGGACTGGACGGTAGAGCGACGGTCTCGCTTCATGCAGGCCGGCGTTCAATCCCCAACCATCCAAGTGGTTGGGCACCATTCCTTCCCCCTGTCCCATCCCAAATCCTTATCCTGACCCCTTCCTGGTGCTATATAGTTGTAATGGCTTGGCGCTTTCCCCCCTAACAGTTCCCTTCCTAGATTCTCCTTAGAGTCTCCTAGAACCCAGGTAAATGGAATACCCAGATTAGCCTATGCCCGTCCTATACCCCAGACCATTCCCTCCTGCAAAGTTGGGTGAAACTTGCCTCAAGTGTCTGGCCTCCAAATTTATACAAACAGATTCTTTCTTATAGTGAAGATGTTTCATTACATATATTTTTTCTTTTTTAGGAACTGGAAGCATATAACAGACAAATACAATATGTCAGAAGAAATGTTCTGTGATGCAGTTCTGAAGTCTCCCACAGTTTTGTCAAAGGTCAAGGCGGCAAACACAGAGGACACCATTGAATCTCTGACTATAAGATCAACAAATGAAGCTTCTGAGTGGAATCCAACTCCATCTCGTATAAGTCATAGCTTCCTGCTTTTTTCACTGGTCCTACAAGTCTTCCTGGAGATAAACAGTGCAATGAAGGTAATTTAAACTGCAGTTAGTTAACATATTCAATATTACTTATATTTAGTCAATCTGTTACTAATTTAGTGACTAATTTAAAATTAACAAAAGACTTAAATATATGTATAGTGATATATTTAAATACTCAGTGTTTGACTTCTAATGTAATCTACAGGGTAATCCAAACATAATTAGCTTTAGAATATCATTGCTCAATGATCTGAAAATTATTTGGATTAGCCAATACCATTCTGTATGAACTTTTAGAACAGAAGTCCGGGTAGTACAGTTGGGTTTGTTCTCGGCTCATAATCAAGAATCTTGGGCGGGCCAGAAATGGTTGGGTGCATTTCCTATTGCCTCATGCCCCTGTCCAACTAGCAGTAAATAGGTACCCAGGAGTTAGTCAGCTTCTTGTGGAGTTGCATCCTGGGGAGGGTCAGTAATTCGACCCTTGAAGAGGATCTTGATATAAGCCTAACATGTACTGTATGTTTATACTGGCTACCTGTGCCCCTGGCACAATGAATTTAATAAGAATACTGGAAACTGCAGAATGCTTGTTGGCTCATGAGACAGCTCCTATTTATATCCATCCAATCTTAAAACACTTAACACTCAAAAGGCCTAATGGCCTATAAAAGGCAGCTCATATTTATATCCACCAAAACTCTTATTTATTTATTTAATTTATTCATTTATTTATATACATATTAGTATATTTTGGTAGCAGTCTTTCTTGCAAACATATGTTGTTAAATATGACCGAAAAACTAAGATTAATAATTCTAACACGAATTTTCTCAATATTTATGATGTTTCTGTTTACTGTCGATGGTAATTGAAAAATCAATTCTCCAAAATTCATTTTTATTTCTAGTCTGACGCGGCGCTTGAACGCGTTTCGTAATAACTTATTACATTTTCAAAGACTTTAGTTTACACACACAACTAACCTGAAAACACTAAACAGAATTTTACTTATGCTAACACTAAACAGCTTGTCTTATATACTCGCATTTGGGTGAGGTGATATGTTGCAACAGTTTTGGATGAGGTGAACAAACTTTTGACCAACACAAGACAGAACACGGAACAATGGGTATTAATCAGATAAATGAGAGGGAAGAATGGAAGTAACTGCAAAGGGCCTATTGGCCCATACTTCCTCTTGATGCTTCTATATTGGTACGGAGTCTTGAAGTGACTTCAAGACTCCGTACCAATATAGAAGCATCAAGAGGAAGTATGGGCCAATAGGCCCTTTGCAGTTACTTCCATTCTTCCCTCTTATTTATCCAATTAATACCCATTGTTCCGTGTTCTGTCTTGTGTTGATCAAATGTTTATTCACCGCATCCAAAACTGTTGCAACATATCACCTCACCCAAATGCGAGTATATAAGACAAGCTGTTTAGTGTTAGCATAAGTAAAACTCTGTTTAGTGTTTTCAGGTTAGTTGTGTGTGTAAACTAAAGTCTTTGAAAATGTAATAAGTTATTATGAAATGCGTTCAAGCGTCACGTCAGACTAGAAATAAAAATGAATTTTGGAGAATTGATTTTTCAATTACTGTACCATCGACAGTAAAAAGAAACATCAGAAATACTGAGAAAATTCGTGTTAGAATTATTAATTTTACTTTTTCGGTTATATTTAACAACATTTATTTATATACAGTATATACAAGAAGGTACATTTGACCAAGTACATAACATTTGTGTTTCAAAGCCTTTAATTTTGTGAGAACATTTCAAAGTAACGTAATAGATTAAGTCCGGATTTTTGTGGGACCAGTAATCTAAGTACAGTAAAACACAATCTGTGGTACAAATACTCGTGTAATAGTCTTTTTGTAAAGTAACTTTCAGACCTGGAAATAAAACCCCCATTGTAATTATAAACGCTATTATTTTCCCTTGTTTGTATACCTAATTTTGCTTGGCCCCTAGGAGTGAGGAGGGTGTGTGCCTGTTCAAAGACAGGTGTGGGATGGACAAATCCACGAGGGCCGTGATGAGGGTTCGAACTTACGCCCGGGATGATCCCAAACGCTGCCTTCCCTCATCACGGCCCTTGTGGATTTGTTCATTTGATACATCACGCTATTGTGATTTCTGTGTGTAAAAGTGTGGGATGATTGACGAAAAGGATTATCAAGACCAGACCCTAGTGTACCTTTATGTTTTATGCAGTAATGGCCGGGTTTTGATAGTTTGTACTCTATTGTATGGCTTAGATGCTCTTGCCCTTACACGGGGGTCTCGAGCTAAGCCAATAGGAGCTTAGTATATTATGTTATGGTATCTATTTACGAGCAAGATGGTTTATTTTGTACAAACCCTTCCAAATTTATTATTACGGTAGTAGTATTAATTTATTTATTACAATACAGTATTATTTTTATAATTATTTTTATTATTATTATTATTTTGACAGCTAAAGTGGCATTATCTTCATAGCAATTTAATTTTTGTACGACTCCCGTGCATAGTGTTAACAGCCATGTTGCTCATCCCAACCTCCTCCTGTGATTTCATGCTTGGCATCAAAATGGTAAGAAATATCTTCTTTATTTTTCTTTAATTTCTTTATTTTTTGTTTTTGGTTTTGCTGAATTAAATGTTTATGCATTAATCTCACTTCTGCCTTCTATCACGGCCAAACTGTAGCACTTACAACCCTTTGCAGCGAAATGGGTTGACAAAAATCACTATACAGTATTATAAAGCTATATTGAACAAAAGTCCAGCAGTGAATGTAATAAAATGTCTTTCTACTGTAGTGGGCCCCTGGGTGGCCCTTTGGTGCTTGTCGCTTGTATAGCTCTACATGTATCCTGCAACACCAGGTCCTTCGGAGCCATAGATAACCTACCACAGACCAGAGGCCAAAACCTAATCCAATCATATAAATGGCTTGGAGGTAGGACATAAAGAGTTAGATCTCACTCCCTGGTAGTCACTGATAGTTAAGCACTCAAAAGAGGCAAGGGATGCTAGATCATCTAAATCATGAGAAATATCCACCAGAATGGTACATTGCACCAAAACATGCAACCACAAGGAAAATATATTAGCAACCCTGACAACAAAAAACACAGTAGGTAGGTTGTTACCCCTAGTAGTTACACACGTATTCTATATTTTATTTAGGCAAAAGTACTGTACATATAAAATAGGATACAAGAAGTAGTTAGGATGTATAGGGAAAGCAAGAACAGTACTACTGTCATGGAGGGCGGCAAGTAAAATGTGTAAGGCGTGGATCCCTCCTCTTCAGGCTGCGTCAAATTCGCAAACAAAACCCTGGTCTTATCAAGCAGTGCTACACTAGGAATGGTACGATTTTTGCGAAGAAGGAAAGTACAGGAAAAAGATATGAAATAAAATGTGACCAACAACTCCTGGCCTTCTTTAGTGATTGTGGTATATCTGAAAACCTGAACCCGACCAATGCCAGTACTTAAAATAACTCTTTCAGTGCCTGAGCCTAACCTAACTTAATCTAACTTTGTCTAAGGTGCTGTCTCTGCCTTACCATTTACCTGATGTTCTCTCATTCATATAATTTCCTAAATAATCCACCAAGTCTCCATGCACTTATGCAAGCATCTACCTCAGTTTCATTGTAAAATTTTACTCATAAATCTAATCTTACCCTATTCCATTTATATTTTAAATTTATTTGTATTGATTTATGTCATTTATTGAAATCAATTATTGATCTCATTTTTGTTCTTTTAATTAAGTTCATACTAATTATAGGTTAAAACTAAGCTAAATAAAATTTATTATCTTTAAGATTATTTTACTTTACAATTATCATTTGTCAAATTTTTTTTTATATATTCATCTTGACAGTCTCTACTGATTTTTGTTCTCTCCACCAAACTTGTGTATCCTCCATGGCTATCTAGTGACCTTTATTCTACCTCTAATTGTTTCAATTCTTTTGTTTACTTGCATTTATTGTTGTGTTTTGCCATAATTATTCTCTAATTTTAGCAGACTTAATACTTTGTAAGCTCTTATTGTATTGTTATATTATTATATTGCTGTGTTTTGCTATAATTACTTTCTATTTTACAGCAGATTTAGTTTTCATCTGTTCCTGTAATTGCTTATCTTATTGTATCGTGACATTCTTATCTATATGCTTACTGATATTGATCCTGATCGAAATCTTCTGTCCCATATCCACACTAATCAGCACATTGATCATCATTATTGCAGGTACTACACAGCAAATCTTGCAAAAAACAAACTCCTAAATAGCACCTGCTTATCAGTTTACAATAAAAATGTTAGGTCACTTGGTAAACATTTTGATGATATAAATGCACTTCTTACAGCACTAGGTACTAAATTATCTTTCATCATTTTAACAGAAACTTGGCTAAGTAATGACTATACCCAACTCTACAATTTAGCTGGTTATAAAGCCATTCATAACTGCAGGCCTAATAAAAAAGGAGGTGGCACAGCAATATATTACAAAGATACCTTCATTTGCAATAGTGTCATTAGTGATAGAGACGACTATTGTGAATATACCTTTGCCAAGTTCTCCAGTAAATCCCTTAAATCCTCCCTGATAATCGGTGCCATCTATAGATTTCCTAATACCAACATAGCTTTATTCTCAGACAACGTAAGGAATCCTATCATAAATAACAATCTCAACAAAAATCACATCATTCTGGGAGGAGATTTCAATATTGACCTGGGTCATCAAAACAACCCTCAAGTTGACTATTTCCGTAACAGCATGCACTCCTGTATGCTAATCCCCACAATCACCAAGCCCACCCGAGTCAAACATCTGCCACTACCCTGGATCACCTATGGACGAATATAACAGCTCCCCTTACATCTGGGGTAATTTATGACAGAACAACTGACCACTATCCTACTTTCCTCATAGCAAACATTGACACATCACCACCAGAAACCAAAAAACTTTCATTCAGGCTACATAGTGAATCAGCTTTAGGCAATCCCTCTAATGCACTTCACAATATTAACTGGGAATCTGAATTTAATAATTCACAGGATATAAACTCATCAACTAACCTCTTTCTCTCCAAAACTCTAAGCCTCTACAACACTCACTGTCCCCTCCTTACCAAACAAGTAACTGATAAAAGAAAAAATAACCCGTGGCTCACAAGTGGCATAATTAAATAAATCAACAAAAAACATGAATACGAAAAGAAATTTAGGAGTGGCCTAATTTCAATGGAAGTAGTTAAAAGGTACTCATCAGTGCTTACCAGTATCATAAGAAAAGCAAAACTTTCATATTATGAGACTAGATTCAAAGAAGCAAAAGGCAACATGAAAAGCACATGGAATACCATCTCTAACATCCTGGGAACTAAACAACACTCCCACAACCAGATAACACTCTCTAAGGATGGCCTTACACTGTCATCTGACTTAGAAATGGCGAATGAATTTAATAGCTTCTTTTCATCGATTGGTGCTAACCTTGCAAGTAAAATCCCACAGACTCAGACACATATCAACACATATCTCTCAGGCAGCTATTCAAACTCTCTTCTCCTCTCACCAGTCAGCCCGTCAGATGTTGTGTCCATCATACACTCACTAAAAACCAAAGCTGGAACATCAGTGAAATCCCATCCATTGTATACAAGAGCGCCTCCCATGCCCTTGCACCACCTATAGCTCTGCTGTTCAACAAATCCCTTGAGTGTCATACCTTCCCTGATATCCTTAAAAACGCAAGAGTAACGCCAGTTCATAAAGGAGGTAATCCGTCAGACATAAACAACTGCAGACCAATATCGAACCTACCCATACTATCAAAAATATTTGAAAAAATTATCTACAAACAGCTCTACTCCTATCTCGTAAAATTCGACATTCTTAGCCCCTGTCAGTTTGGCTTCCGCTCTCAAAAGAGTACCAACGATGCAATTATTAGTCTCCTTGATATAATTTACTCTGCCCTTGACAAAAATGAGTTTCCAATTGGACTCTTCATTGACCTGAGAAAGGCCTTTGATACTGTTAATCACGATTACCTCTTATGTAAACTCCATCATTATGGAATCCGAGGCCATGCACTGGACTATATCCAATCCTATCTTAGTGATAGACACCAATGTGTAGCCATCAATAATATAATCTCTCCCATTCTACCAATAACCGTTGGAGTGCCACAGGGCAGCATCTTGGGACCCCTACTATTTCTTATATACATTAATGATCTGCCTAATGTCTCTAACATTCTGAAACCTATTTTGTTTGCTGATGATACTACCCTCATTTACTCCAACCCCAACCCACATACACTAAATGATGTTGTTAATAATGAACTAAAAAAAGTTCACTTATGGATGTCAACCAACAAACTAACACTTAACATAGAAAAGACCTACTACATCCTATTTGGAAGCAAATCTACAAATGCAATTCAGCTTCAGATTGACAATGTAAACATTAGCAATAAAAATGATGGAAAGTTTCTTGGCATATTCCTAGACAAGAGACTCAACTTCAGTACCCACATACAACACATAACTAAGAAAGTCTCTAAAACAGTTAGTATACTCTCCAAAATCAGATATTATGTTCCTAACTCTGCTCTCATCTCTCTATATTATGCACTAATCTATCCCTATCTCAACTATGGTATCTGTGCATGGGGTTCAACCACTGCAAACCACCTCAAGTCCATCATCACCCAGCAAAAATCTGCTATCAGAATAATATCAAATTCTGTTTTCAGACAACACACAGCCCCCTTGTTTAACTCCCTAAACATGCTAAACATAATCTCACTCCACAAATTATCTTGTGTCAACTACATTTACAAAACCCTGTTCTTAAATGCAAATCCTTGTCTGAAACTCTTCCTGGACAGATGTAATAGGACCCATTATCACCACACCAGAAATAAATATCTCTTTGATATCCCCAGAGTTAAACTTAATTTGTGTAAACACTCTATGCAAATAAAGGTACCCAGTTTATGGAACTCACTCCCTACTGAATTGAAAAGCTGTCCAACTTTTACATCATTCAAAATCAATACTAAAAAGTACCTAATTTCATCTTCATAGCTTTTCTCTTTTTGCCTTAAAATTGCACTGTATCTATTGCTACCCAATCTCCCAACCTTTTTGTTCCCAATTTGAACATCTTTACCATTGAGATCATTGCTGTTTTCTTATATGTGCTGCCATTCTATTGTATGGTGTTTATATATCTTGTTTATCTGTATCTTTTGCTACCCAGTCTCCCAATCTTTATGTACCCATTCTGAACATCTTTACCATTGTGATCATTGCTGTCTTATATGTGCTGTCAATCTGCTGTATGGTGTCTATTAATCTTGTTTAAATTACTAATCAAGCTGTCAATGTAATCAATCAGAGCTTTAATATAACAATGTGCTTTAATATACTTACTTATCTCTCTCATTTCATTTTTCTCTTGTAATGTATCTTTCATTTATCAATTCTGATTGAAATTACCTACTTAAAGTTATCTGCTAGATTAAGGACCTGCCCGAAACGCTGCGCGTACTAGTGGCTTTACAAGAATGTAATTACTGTACTATCCAATGTATTCTCACAAACCCAATGTACCTTCTTGTATATATATAAATAAAATAAAATAAAATAAAATAAGGGGCATGAAAAATAACGTGTGAGGGCTCGAATATAATCATGTAAGGGGTACGAACTTCTAAGCCGTATACTGGAGTACCAGCTATCGAAACCCGTCTTTTACTTCCTTACTTTCAGTATATGTACATAACTTTAAATCAGAAATACAGAACAAATGTTTATGATAAAGAAACACCTGAAGCACAAGAGTGATAGTGACACAATAAGCAGTATTGGGCAGGTCTTCACCAGGTACATTAATACTTGATTTAATGATCAGTTTACCCAAGGTGAACCCTGAGCTCCTGGGGCTGGCACCTGGTGGTGGGAGTAATTAGCACTGGTAATGACTTTAGTTGTCAAGATTGCTAATATTTTGTCTTGATGTTGTCTGTTTTGATACACTACTTTTCTAGTTTTTTTTACTTTTGGTTTGGGTGATCTAGCATTCCCTGCTCCCTGTGCCTCTTTGAATGGACCAGGTTTTGTCCTCTGGTCTATGAAAAATATTCTATGAATCACAAGAGCCTTGTGTGACATGATACATGTAAAGCTATGCAGGTGGCTAGCAGCAAGGAACCACCAAGGTACACAACCAGAAAAAAAATTACGATAAAATTACGTCAACAAATTTAGTCATCATAATTTGGGTTTGGGAGTAAAGGCTGATAAGGGGGTTTGCTTCTTGGAACCTTAAAAAAAAAAAAAAAATAATGAGTCCAAATAAAATTTATTTATTTATTTATTTATTTATTTATTTATTTATTTATTTTTATTTATTTATATATATACAAGAAGGTACATTGGGTTTGTGAGAATACATTGGATAGTACAGTATTTACATTCTTGTAAAGCCACTAGTACGCGCAGCGTTTCGGGCAGGTCCTTAATCTAGCAGATAATTTTAAGTAGGTAATTTCAATCAGAATTGATAAATGAAAGATACATTACAAGAGAAAATGAGATGAGAGAGATAAGTAAGTATATTAAAGCACATTGTTATATTAAAGCTCTGAATGATTACATTGACAGCTTGATTAGTAACTTAAACAAGATTAATAGACACCATACAGCAGATTGACAGCACATATAAGACAGCAATGATCACAATGGTAAAGATGTTCAGAATGGGTACATAAAGATTGGGAGACTGGGTAGCAAAAGATACAGATAAACAAGATTTATAAACACCATACAATAGAATGGCAGCACATATAAGAAAACAGCAATGATCTCAATGGTAAAGATGTTCAAATTGGGAACAAAAGGTTGGGAGATTGGGTAGCAATAGATACAGTGCAATTTTAAGGCAAAAAGAGAAAAACTATGAAGATGAAATTAGGTACTTTTTAGTATTGATTTTGAATGATGTAAAAGTTGGACAGCTTTTCAATTCAGTAGGGAGTGAGTTCCATAAACTGGGTCCCTTTATTTGCATAGAGTGTTTACACAAATTAAGTTTAACTCTGGGAATATCGAAGAGATATTTGTTTCTGGTGTGGTGATAATGGGTCCTATTACATCTGTCCAGGAAGAGTTTCAGACAAGGATTTGCATTTAAGAACAGGGTTTTGTAAATGTAGTTGACACAAGAGAATTTGTGGAGTGAGATTATGTTTAGCATGTTTGGGGAGTTGAACAAGGGGGCTGTGTGTTGTCTGAAAGCAGAATTTGATATTATTCTGATAGCAGATTTTTGCTGGGGTGATGATGGACTTGAGGTGGTTTGCAGTGGTTGAACCCCATGCACAGATACCATAGTTGAGATAGGGATAGATTAGTGCATAATATAGAGAGATGAGAGCAGAGTTAGGAACATAATATCTGATTTTGGAGAGTATACCAACTGTTTTAGAGACTTTCTTAGTTATGTGTTGTATGTGGGTACTGAAGTTGAGTCTCTTGTCTAGGAATATGCCAAGAAACTTTCCATCATTTTTATTGCTAATGTTTACATTGTCAATCTGAAGCTGAATTGCATTTGTAGATTTGCTTCCAAATAGGATGTAGTAGGTCTTTTCTATGTTAAGTGTTAGTTTGTTGGTTGACATCCATAAGTGGACTTTTTTTAGTTCATTATTAACAACATCATTTAGTGTATGTGGGTTGGGGTTGGAGTAAATGAGGGTAGTATCATCAGCAAACAAAATAGGTTTCAGAATGTTAGAGACATTAGGCAGATCATTAATGTATATAAGAAATAGTAGGGGTCCCAAGATGCTGCCCTGTGGCACTCCAACGGTTATTGGTAGAATGGGAGAGATTATATTATTGATGGCTACACATTGGTGTCTATCACTAAGATAGGATTGGATATAGTCCAGTGCATGGCCTCGGATTCCATAATGATGGAGTTTACATAAGAGGTAATCGTGATTAACAGTATCAAAGGCCTTTCTCAGGTCAATGAAGAGTCCAATTGGAAACTCATTTTTGTCAAGGGCAGAGTAAATTATATCAAGGAGACTAATAATTGCATCGTTGGTACTCTTTTGAGAGCGGAAGCCAAACTGACAGGGGCTAAGAATGTCGAATTTTACGAGATAGGAGTAGAGCTGTTTGTAGATAATTTTTTCAAATATTTTTGATAGTATGGGTAGGTTCGATATTGGTCTATAGTTGTTTATGTCTGCCGGATTACCTCCTTTATGAACTGGCGTTACTCTTGCGTTTTTAAGGATATCAGGGAAGGTATGACACTCAAGGGATTTGTTGAACAGCAGAGCTATAGGTGGTGCAAGGGCATGGGAGGCGCTCTTGTATACAATGGATGGGATTTCACTGATGTTCCCAGCTTTGGTTTTTAGTGAGTGTATGATGGACACAACATCTGACGGGCTGACTGGTGAGAGGAGAAGAGAGTTTGGATAGCTGCCTGAGAGATATGTGTTGATATGTGTCTGAGTCTGTGGGATTTTACTTGCAAGGTTAGCACCAATCGATGAAAAGAAGCTATTAAATTCATTCGCCATTTCTAAGTCAGCTGACAGTGTAAGGCCATCCTTAGAGAGTGTTATCTGGTTGTGGGAGTGTTGTTTAGTTCCCAGGATGTTAGAGATGGTATTCCATGTGCTTTTCATGTTGCCTTTTGCTTCTTTGAATCTAGTCTCATAATATGAAAGTTTTGCTTTTCTTATGATACTGGTAAGCACTGATGAGTACCTTTTAACTACTTCCATTGAAGTAGTTAAAAAGTACTTCCATTATTTATTTATTTATTTAATTTATTTATTTATATACAAGAAGGTTTGTGAGAATACATAGCATAGTATTTATAATCTTGTGAAGCCACTAGTATGTGCAGCGTTTCGGGCAGGTCCTTAATCTAACAGATAATTTTAAGTAGGTAAATTCTAGCAGAATTAATAAAATGATAAATACATTGCAAGAAAAAAAATGAGATGAGAGAGATTAGTAAGTATATCAAAGCACATTGGTATATTAAAATTTTATAATAATAATTCATTGTGTTGGGGGGAAGGGGACAGGCAGCCAGTGTTTTAGCCTGGGATTAGTTGTGGCTGAGAGATCTTGGCATCAGGAAGGAATCCTGAATATTCAAGTGAATAATCAACAACATTTAGATCTACAACTTGCATCATCTTCAATAAACTGAAATATTCTAATTCTATAATTAAATCATTACATTTTTTAAAGACATTTAATTGATCAAAATTTCCACTTTTATTTATACTATAATGAAGAAATGTTACAAGCTAAAATACCTTTAAACAATATACTATACAGCATATTTATTTGTATAAATGTATATTTTTAATTTCCAGGTACCAATTTGGCAGTGTGGTATACTGGCTCTTCTTATGGCATGGATTCAACTCATTCAAATCATCAATAAATTGCCACAGTGTTCAGTTTTCACAATCAGTACGTGGGATTTCATAAAATGTTACCTCAAAGGTTTGATGTACATTGGAATGGTGATATTACTCTTTGCCCTGATCTTTCATTTGCTCTTACAAGATAATAGTGCCTTTAAATCGATTCCACAATCATTTATGAAGACTGTAGTCTGGATGTTGGGCGACCTTGGATATAATGATACCTTTATCCAGGAACCACTTTCTTATCCAGTCCTTGTCAATGTACTCTTCTTTGTGTTTATCTGCACAATTTGGGCTTTCATTGTTACATTAGTAAAAGCTCCATCATCAAATGAAAAGGAAGTTGAATTGTTTAAAAAAGCTGCACTAGCAAATTATCTTCTAAATCTTGACGTTTGCTTTCCATGGTTTAAAAGAAAACATGCTGTGGGAATGTATAATGTTAGTAATAGGAAGCCTAAGGAATCATTGGTAGTGAGCAAATTATCACAACATATTGATAAAGTTACTTTAATGAATACCAGTACTTATAAATTCAAGCAAGACAATACCAAACACTGGATTGTATCAAAGACAGAAAAGTTATTTAGATTTTTCAGTAATTATTCTAATGAAGGTGCAAATATTGCATTGCCTGATCTCCAACAAGAGCATTTACAGGCACAAACTGAAAAGCTTGACCAATTGCTTGCTCTTTGTAATCAGTTAAATGAAAATTACCGTAAGCAAAATGAGCAGATACTAGAGATGAAACAACAGTTAGATAATATGAAGCAAAGATCAAGATACAGCACGAGCCCACTAAGTTTTCCTTAACATACAATACAGTGGGTGGGTTGTGGACAAAAAACAAACATGGAACTTCAGGTACATGTACATAATCTACTGAATATAAGCAGGCTTTTTTATCTTCAGTTATTAGTGTAACTACCAAAGTCTAGTTACAGGATGAGAGCTACACTCGTGGTGTCCTGTCTTCCAGCACTGTCATATAATGCTTTGAAATTTCTGACCGTTTTGGCTTCCACCACCTTCTCACCTAACTTGTTCCAACCGTCTACCACTGTTTGCGAAAGTGAATTTTCTTATATTTCTCCAGCAGCTTTGTTTCGTTAGTTAAAATTTATGACCTCTTGTTCGTGAAGTTCCAGGCCTCAGGAATTCTTCCCTATCAATTTTATAGATTCCTGTTACTATTTTGTATGTAGTTATTATATCGCCTCTTTTTCTTCTATCTTTTAGTTTTGGCATATTTAATGCCCCTAACCTCTCCTCGTAGCTCTTGTCCTTTAGTTCTAGGAGCCACTTAATGGCATGTCTGCACCTTTTCCAGTTTGTTGATATGCTTCTTAAGATATGGGCACAAAATAACAGCTGTACATTCCAGCTTTGGTCTAATAAAGGTCGTGAACAATTTCTTTAGTATTTTGTCATCCATGTATTTAAAAGCAATTCTAAAGTTAGAAAGTGTAGCATAGGCTACTTGCACAATGTCCTTAATATGGTCCTCAGGTGATAGTTTTCTATCTAGAACCACCCCCTAGATCTCTTTCTTTATCAGAATTCTATGAAGATTTCTCACATAATTTATAGGTTGTGTGGGGTCTATGTTCTCCTATTCTACATTCCATAACATGGCATTTATTCACATTAAATTCCATTTGCCAAGTGGCGCTCCATGAACTTATTTTGTCCAGGTCTTTTTGAAGGGCATGACTATCATCTAAGTTTCTTATCTTCCCTACTATCTTAGCATCATCAGCAAACATGGATTTATTTCCTTTAAATGCAATATTTGTGTGTTCCATCCATCATGTAATTATTATAATTCCCCCCCCTTTTTCCAATTCAATTTATGCTTTGATCTCAATTAGTTTTAAGTTTCAGTCTAAGTTTGTTTCCATATCTTGCCCATAACGCTGTGTGTATTAGTGGCTTTAGGCATAGTAAGTAGTAGCTCTATCTAGAAATCCAACATTGTTACTCAATTTCTATGTATATATTTTTACCTAAATAAACATTTTATTTTATTTTATTTTTATTTATTTGTTACGGTGCCGCCACCAACATTAACGATCTAAAGAAGTGTGAAAAATTTGGCGAAATGTACAGACTAATTTTCCCTTCATACAGCTGTTGATGGCCAGCAGCTGCATTAAAGCACTTCTGGTTTGTTGAACGTTACTATCAAGTCTGGTAATAGTAACTAATCTCAACGTGATCATATCAACTCAAATTTATTGTTCTGTATCGAGATAAGAGTGTCTTCCCTAATCTTCACATTGCTATTCAGATAATGCTAACCATTGCAGTTTCCATCGCCAGCTGTGAGAGATCATTTAGCAAATTAAAACTAATACTTTCGTATTCAAGAGCGTTTATGAGTCCAGGTAGACTGCTCTTGCTCTGCTAGATGTAGAAAGAGAAGCAAGTAATTAAAAGAAGGCACCAAACGTAGAAAGAAGAAACTAGAATAACTGACTTCACATCACAGATCAATTTGGCATCAGTGAAAGCCAGGAAGGTGCAGTTTTAATTTTCATGTGACTATGTGCATCGAATTTTGTAACAAGCTCATCAAAACTTACATGCTTAACTAACTTTAGGGTTCAGTCCTCGAGCCCATTTTGTCCTGTAACCCTTTCCACTTCCACCCACAGGATGGGCTTGGGGTGCATAATAAATGAACTAAACTAAACTCGTGTAGTGTCAATTTGTAAATCCAAAAGATAAATTAACTGATATTTTCTAGCTGACTTTATGATAAAGTTTCCCAAGAGATGGGTGTCAGAAGTTTGGACGGGCGCAATTTCAGTGCTTGCTATAGGCGCTGTTTTCTCTCCACACACCATTGTACACTGGGAAGAGAACCTAGAGCACATCCAGCTCCAAGTACTCTTAATTCCTGGCAGATGTACACCAAAATGTACAGACAACAATGACAAAAAACCCATCACTTAAATGAAAGCAGACTCTGGAGCCAGGGCGACGGAGACCGGACACACGTGTACCATCAGAACAGAACGGAAGGTGGGGCAGCCGGCTGACCGCAGGCCACCTCCATCTTCACACCAAACAAGTGTGGGAGGTGAGGTGAACGAGCTGGCAGTAATTTCGAGAATTTTCGATAGATTCGAAAGTTTCGTGAGAATCTTTAGGCGGTTCTCGAGGCTGGGGTCTCGTAGGAAGACAGCAGCTAGTGGCTTCAAACGAGAAGCCACTGCCAGCTTCTCGTTTCGCTGGTAGGGAAACAAGTGTTTTGTTTCAGACACTGGGTGGCTTTCCT